GAGAATAGCATACTGTAATAGCTTAGTAGCACTTAAAACCCATTCTCCTTATATAAAAATAGTTACATTATATCCTGCTTAACTGTTATACAAAGCCTAAATCACCCTCCTTACAAACCCTAACATGCCTATCTTTCCTTAACCTAGGCTTGTATAGAAAGAGATTATACCTAACTAGAAGAAGATAGCTTTTTGCCTAGAGACAAAGACGTTAGCGCAAGACGTGAAGAATTTCCTAGGCTTACTGACAACGTCTGCTAAGAAAGGAGGCTACAACTTTGAATTGCCTAGGGAAATGCTGTGAAATTTGTTGTTTCTAAGAACTAAGATATAGACTTAAGCGTTACAACTTTTGTAAAGCTTGTAGGCTTTTTGGAAAAAAGTAAGGCACCTCTTGCATGCATTTGATTGTTAATTCTTTGTCTCTATCCAAAATGACAACGCTAAAGCATTAGGCAGTTTAGTAGCTAGCAAAGATTCTAGCAGCTATAGATTAAAACTGCCAAAAAAGGCATAATAGTATTGATAATTGTGTAAAACCAAGACATACACTTACACATTGCACATTTTGTAAAGCTTGTAGGCTTTGCAAAAAAGAGTAAGGCGTTGTCTATATGCATTTGCTAGTTACTTTCTACTCTTTCCTAAAAGAGATAATGCCAAAACCTATAGCATAGTAGCTAATGTAAGCAGTAAAGCATGTTGTTTGCTTATAGTAATAGCTACTAAACATATTGTATTTGCCTCCTTATAAAGTCTATGCTAGGTATAAGACAAAAAATATTAAATTTCTATGTAGGAAGCTATTTATATATACTTATTCTGCTACTCTAAGGGTTTGTTGTTTAGACATCTTAGGAGCAAGAAGATTGCTAAAAACTGTCTTTTGTTATGCAGGATAGTAAGATGCATAGCATTGTAAGAAACAGAAAATGCTAGCTAGCATAGGTGCTAAAGAAAGTGAGAGAAAACCATTCTACCTATCACCATGCTTGTTTTCTAGCATAGATTAACCCTTTGCAAAAACCAAAGCAAGAAAGTGATACAAATTATATTGTTAGTAGATACTTGCCTTTACAGTTCCCCCCTTGCCTCTTGCTTCTCCAAAAACCCCTTTTGTTTGTACTAACATAGCTAATCAAACTACAGATACCTGCATATAGATAGCAAGAGGCATAGCGCTACGCTTAGTCTAGAGATAAAGCGTATAAATAGCTAGTGTTGGGAAAGCAGACATTTGCTAAAGGCTAAAAAAAAAAAAAAAACAAAAAATTAGAAGAAGACAGCCAATACAGTCCTATAGAGACATAACAAGATGCACAAAAAGGCTGTAAAGAGGGTAAATTTGCTACACTTAACTAGACTTGTATTCAAACTGCATATTCCCTTTAAACCACTAGCTCTAGGGTTTCTTAAAGCTAATCAATTGCCTTAGATGTCGCCTCTCTTAATCCTCTTGCATAGTGCGCCTATTAGTAATCCTTTCTACCAAAACAGCAATCAAAACCTTAGTCTCTTATTAGTTTCTGCAACTTGTATAGGCAATTGCTAATGTAATCTATATTGTCTATAAAGCTATCTACTCTCACATCTAAAACTAATTCTCTTAACGTTATGCACATTTCTAGCACTCTTAAAAATAAGCCTCTTTGACAACACTAGTTTAAAGCTGCTAAAGTTACTAAAGCCTCTATCATAGCATTAAAAGCATCTTTATAGTAGTATAAATAGACCTTTCTATAGTGTAACCTAGCAATAAGTTCTACTAGCAGCTAGCTAGGAGAAATGCAGCACTATAGCTTAACGCATATCTAATCTAGTATTAAATAAAACACAAAAGGCTCTAGAAGCTTAATATAAAAGAGGGAAGATTAAAGATAAGATGCAATAGACTGCAAGGTAGCATTGTTGTAGCTACCTTTCTTGTATTAGACAGTAAGGTCTATTAGAAAAAACCTAAGACTAGCAAACCAAGCAGCCCTACCTTATTAGCAGTGCATGCAGGATTGTAAAAAGCAATACGCATATAGTGTTAGAATCTAGATTAGAGAATAGGCAGCCCTTGATATCTAAGATTGCCTTTAGCCTATTAGCAAATGTTGTCTGCAACAAGTCTTAGTCTAACAATTTACTAAAAGAGACAGTACTTTGATTCATGTCTAGCTTTAGCTGCCTTAACCTAAAGAAATAGTATTTGCAGTTAACTAAAGACTAGCCTTTTACAAAGATAGTCTGTGTGAAATATGCGCCTAGTGAGAGGTTAGTGCTATAAGAGACAGGATAAAAGAAACAAACCTATATTAAAACCAAAAACAATATCAAAATATTTTCTAAAAGGGTATTTGACTAAGCCTACTAGAAACTAAAGCTTCTTTAAGAACTTATAAAGCATAAGTCTATTCTCTATCAAGCCTTTAAGTTAGATTGCCTAAGCGCTTGCTATTAGTAGCTTTATGTCAAACACATTCTTATTGTACATGCTGCAAAGCAGACATTTCAAAACTACAAATATTAAAAAATCTAAGAAGAACCTGCAAAAGACAATGCAAGGATTACATAGCCAATGTTAGCAGATTAATATATTGCTAGGCTTTTAGGTTAGGCAAACAAGGCATAAACTATCTACCTAGCAGTTCTCTCATAACTATTCATAGCTACCAAGAAGTTCTAAATGCGCAGTAGCAAATCTACTGTCTTGCCTTTAAGCTGCTAATCCTAGGAATGCCTTGCATACCTGCAGAGCTAGCCTTAGGAGCCTAAGTCACTTCTTAGCCTAAGACATAGCTATTTTGTAGAATTTGTAAAAGGCATAGTCTAGGCAAAACACTAGCCATTATTAGCGCATATATATAGAAATAGAAAGTGGCAAGGCACAAACAGTGCATTCCTAAAGAGTAAGAATCAAGTTTTAATGCTAAAGCTATAACCTAGACAATGTCTAAGTCTATGCATATGCAGCTTGCCTTTGTCAAGCTAACAATATAGTCTGCAAGATTTACCAAGACTAGATTGCGCATTCTAGACAATTGGTATAAATTAAGGCTTTGCCTATGCTAGCTAAAGTTAGACATGGTTTGTTAGGAGAGACATTTTAGATGCAGCAAAGAAAATGCAAGCCTAGCAGCTTTGCATACGCAAAAGCCTTCCTTGGCATAGAATAAGATATCTAGCAACTTTAATTGCAACAAGAGCAGCACGCTTTCAAATGCCTTTTAGCACTGCAGATTAGCAATAGACTGCATAACTAGCTAGAGAAAGTCTAGCCTTTGCAGCAAAGTAGCAAGTCTCTTTCAAAGTTGCTTGTTTAGCTTTTTGCCTATAATGTCTATGTTCTCTTTGTAAAGAACAAGGACTCTTAGCAAGCTTTCTAGAAGGTTCCAAACCACTAGTTAAGCCTAAGCAGCAAGAATATCAATAACTTGTTTGAATCTCCCAAAGTCATTAGCAAAAAGCAGCATAATAGGAAAGAGAAAGGCTAAGACATGCCAATACAAGTCTTATGCAAGTCTGCAAACCTTATAGTTAAGGAGCTTGCCAAGTATAATGTCGCAAAGAACATGCCAATGCTAATCTCTACACGCAAGCTTAGCCTTAATTCTTAGCAAAGCTTGCACATTGTATAAGCTGTAGTCTACAAAGATAGCCAATTAAGATAGCAGTTAGAAAGCAACTCTATCTATATAGATAACTGTTTTAAGCCTAAGAAGTATGCATTGCAGAAACTACTACTTCTCTACGCTACTAATTGCAAGAATCAAGCGTAGTAAGGCAAGACAGCAGTCAAGCATGCTATACGCGTGGCAAAACTCAAAAAGGTACAGGCTATTAAAGCCTAGCACTTCTATACGCAACTATAACCACTCTTCTATAGTAAGAAGAGATAGTGCCTACAGTTTGAAAATCTGCGTCTTAGCGCTGCCTTATAACCTAACCATGTAGGCTATAGTTGCTTTTTTTTGGTAAAAAGGCTGCAACTTGCTATTTGCTATTTTCTACACCTAGCTCCTTGCTATTATTTACTTGATGCAACTACCGCTAGTAAAACCTTTATATAATCTCTAACTAGTACAAAGATGTCAAGTCTATTCGTAAGAATCATTTGTATGTTAATTAAATCATTGACATTCCCTTAAGCTAGAAAGGTCTACAATAACAACCTTGACAGGCTAGTAAATGCGTTTAGCTAAACAGCATGCACATCTAAACATCTTAGCAACCACCTATGCAGCATTATACATCCTAACAACTTTAGCCAAGTCTTAAAGATTCTAGCATGCATAGCCAACTAGCTACGCTTAACCTTAGACTACAATGCAAAGCATTATCCTTTACTTAAGACTACAATGCAAAGCATTATCCTTTACTTAATAGCTATCCTGTCAAATGCCTTTACAGTCAAAGACAAGTCAAAGCTGCCAAGCATGCCTAAGGAAAATGCAGATAGTAGGAGGTAAAGCTGTCTCTTGCTTAAGGTATATGCGTTTTCCTATTTGCTATGACAAACCTTAACCAAGCCAAGCAACAAGCCAAGTCTTATAGACAAAATCAAAACCTACTTGCATAAGTCTAAGCATTGCAGCAGAGAGGTATATTAGAATGTTAGAAAGTATATAGCTGCAAGGAATAAGGCAAAACGAGATCAATAGTATAGTCAACTATTGTTACCTACGCAGCATGCCTTTAAAAGCCTCTTAAAGATTAAGAAAAACGGTTAATTCAAGTAGCTAACGATAGTACAAGCCTTAGACTACCTCTTAGAATTCTCTAGTATTATCAAAAGACTCTAGCTTAGAAATGTCTTAAAGATCCTAGCTTTTTATTGCCTTAAGCTAATCATGTGCTACTTAAGTTATATATATAAGGTCTAGCAAAGGATTACAGCTAGTAACCTAGAAACCAAGTGTTTAATTAACTTGCAAAGTGTTAAGCAAGTCTAGTACTACTTTCCCAGCAGCTGTCTAGCAAGCTGCATGCAAATCAAGACACTCTTCTAAGACAGGAAAATCTTTCTAAAAATCACCAACCTTAATACAAGAGAGAAGATAAAGACTGTTATTCTTTCCCTAGATATTATTATTCCTAGCCTTGCAACTATGCATAGAAACTTGCTTTATATCTCTCTTAGCGTATTTATCCTAAAACGTCACGTAATAAATGACATGCCAAAAGAGAAAGAAAAGAAGGCACTAGAGAGCGATAAGGCTAAGCAAGGCAAGAGAAGCTTACTGCTAACAATCTACAAAAGGCTACGCAAGAACTAGAAAGCCTCTAAAATGTCTCTTCTTAAAGTAAAAGACAACAAATATGTAAAATTAGTTAGAAATCTCCACCTCTATCTAGTATACTTGCAGCTATTTTTAATAGCTTTACAGCTTTTCCTATAGCTTTGCCTAGTGTTGCCTTTCTAAGACAAGGAGGAAAATCTTGTAGCACAAGTTAACTCTACTTGCAAGTTATACCTTGCAGGCATTGCCTATGCTTTTAGCTGCAAAGGTTACAAAATCAACAAATGGCAACGCTATGCAAAGCCAAGCGCTAGCCTACAGCCTACTCTGCTTGCCAAGAAGTTGGCTTGCAATTGGCAGGTTAGCAAGCTATATACAAAGAACTTCTAGCTGCTTTAATCGCAGGCATATCTATCTTAGCTCTAGCAAGCTCTAAAAGACAAGCTTAGTTCTATATTTGTGTTAAAGGATATAATCCAAGCCTTTTTTAAAGATATGCAATTTGCTATCAAGCCTAAACAAGCCTTTGACATAAAGGTGCCAATGACTAAGATCTAGATCAAGGCACTCACAAAAGGCTAAAAGCTTGCTAGCAAAGCCTAAATTAAGCGTTTGTCTTAGAAAGCCTTAATCTAGAAAGACTAGCCTTAGGCTATAGAAAAGAATAGAAGCACTAGTAACAAAGACTAAGCCTTTGCAAAACAACATAAACACACAGCTTTCTAGGCTAACCTATCTAACCTATTGCTGCATAATGCATGTTAGTTTATAACATTACCTACTATAGTAAAGGCTGTTGAAGAAACTAAAGCTCTAGCTGCTAGTCTTAAGTTGCAAATAGGGTTTGACTATAAGTCTTTAAATGCTATTGTTAATCTCTCAAGCATACTTTATAATGCATGCTAGACTGTGATTTTACCTACTATAGTAAGACTTGCCAAAGCAGCCAACTTGCCATTTTCTAGCCTTAAGCCACCTAACATAGTTATAGACTGCTTAAACCTACTCTTATATGCTACATGCTAGTCTATCCTTATGCCAACCACAAAGAAGCTTTCCAAAGAGGCTAACTTTCTATCTACTAATCTCAAGCTAGCAGTAGGTTTTAGAGAGAGACCTTTAAAAGTAGTTTCTAACCACCTAAACTTACTCTATGCTATACCTTAGCCTATCCCTCTAGCTGCCAAGGCAAACTTACATTCTCTAGCTTCTAACACCTAACTATTAGGCATTATCACTCTACCTCTAAACGCTATTCTCAATTTGCATTGTCGCGCACTAAACAAAGACAAAAATCTCTCTCTAACACTAAAGCAAGCCTAGGCTTAGGCTGCAACTCTCCTATTTGCAAGAAACAAAGCATTAAAGGCTAACGCAGCTTAAAAGAAAGAACAAGATGCAGCTTACATGCAAGCCACTAACTATTTTCTTCATAGCGACAAAGAGTAAAAAGCTCTCAAATTAGTTCCTGCTAAAGGTAGCAAAGAGAAGGCAAATCTCAATTCTATTCTAGCTATAAGTCAAGCATAGGCTTATTCTATCATCAATTTAGTTCTACCACACCTTAATTTACACCTAAAGGCATTAATAAAACCTATTTGCAAAATGGTTGGCTAGAGAAAAGAAAGCTAGAGGAATAAAAGCTAGAGAAAAGAAAGCAAGATAGAAATAGAAAAGTGCAAGATAAAAGACATCTAGATAGCTTGTAATGTATTTGATAATAGCAATAATAGACTAAAGGAGAGTAGGGTAAGAAAGGTAAAGAAGCGTAGCAGCTAGGATTCTACAATAGACATGTAAAACTAGAGAAATAAACACATTATGCTTTACAAGAGATTAAGCTATGTAGCCTAGACATCTTGCTAAAGCTTAATCTCTCTCAAAAGCAACATTGCACTATATTAGACTCTAGGCTATCAATGTAAACTTTGTGGCAATTACCTTGCTATAGTTTAAAGTTTAGAAATATAGATATACCTTAGTATACAAAACCTTGCTTGTTGCAACTCTAGTTGCCTTGTAACATATACTAACAGTTTAGGTTGGTTTGTTATAATTGGCTATTCAAAGCTAAGCAGGTGCTTTTTAAAGCAACTTGATAAACTCTAATTGGTTTAGAGAACCAAATTTTATCTCTATTAGCTAAACACTAAATTAGAAGTATAGAAAATCAAAGACAAAACGCTACCACCTTTCCCTAAGATTACCTCTGCCAAAACTCTCACCTAACCTATACATATATTTAAAGCTAACATGCATTTGTAATATCTATTAACATAAGAGAGAAAAATATCTCTAGCTAAAAGCATTGCTTGCATATAAAAGCAAACTACCTAAAAGTGTGACATGCAGTAAGACTTGCTATACAATTAGGCAGCTAGGTAAGGCTATCTATCTACATGCTAGAAAGAAACAGAGACAAATACTATAGTGTAGAGGAAAGAGTAGCATAGACATAGTTATTACAAGACGCATGCATAGAGGAAAAGCAAGGTACTTTTTGCAAATACGATATAGAATTAGAAAAAAGCAGATATGCTAGCCAATTAGATATGATTAACACCAAACCAAAAACCAAATTTGGTTAAAAAGTAGGAATTTCCTGCATGCTAAAAACTGCATCTCAAAGCAGTCTATCAATTGTTATTGTCAAACTTAAAAGCGCTATAAATTTGTATCTCCTTAGACTAGTGTTTATGCTTTGCAGCTGCCTAGTTCTTAGTATTCTAAAGCTACTAGTATTGCAAAAATACTATACGTAAGGTGTTTGCAACTTAAGCAATAAGGTGATTTTGCTAATCAATGTTGCAATGGTATTGCTAGTTCTATGCCTATAAGGAAGAAATTTGGCAATCTTTCTTGGCAACTTTTTCATCCTATGCAACAAGCTGCTGCTGTAGCTTTTTGTTCTTCTTATATACTGCCTATACCTCTGTTTCCAAGCTTTGCATTAACGTGGTGAATGGAAAAGGCACAGGCCGCTTCAGGCTAGGATGAGTCAGCTTCAGACCGGATTTTCTGCGCTTCCATATAAAAGCGCGATCAGGGCCTCAAATTGTAAGATCAGGATCAATTACGCAGACTTACACGGATTTACAAGCAGCACTCTTTACACCTTAGTTATTCCCAAGCTTTCTACGCAATAATACTTGATTTACCGCATTCCATTCCTTCCTTACGCCTTCAATTCAATTAATCACGCCGCCGGCGTTTTCCTGCCTTACTTACACAACTGGATTTGGGCACTACCGCGAGACGTATCGGGGCTAATCAGGGTCACCTGACCAGTCACGTGCGCCAGAGGTAAGGAAGAAGCACGATTCCATCCGCCTGCCAGCCAATCACGTAGCTACTGCCGTTGGGGCCTACGCCTCAGCAGCAGTATACTACGTTGAGAGGTAGGTAGGTAGGTGGTTTTGTGTCTCTCCTCCTCACTATGTAACCTAAAGGTTAGCTAAAGGTCTACAATGCACCTTAGTTAGCTAACTCTAGCCTAACATTGTAATGCTAGAAGGACATAACAGACAATAGGATAAGATTGCCAACATTATCAACCATAATTGCCATGCTAGCTCTAACTTCCTTTTAGTTCTTGAAACTAGTCTAAAACTCTATAGGTCAATTAACCTAGTCAAAAGCTTTGCTTAGACAGTTTGTTTTAAAGGAGAGAAAGTCGTCTATGTCAATCAGTTAGCAGCCACTAGTAATTGAGAAAACCTTGTCAACTACTAAGTAAAGTCATTTTGTGACACCTAGGTAAAAGATCTGCATAGAAGGCTAGCCTTGCTAGCTTAGGTTTGCCATATGCAAAAGAAGCTTTAGAGAAAAGCATGTCATAAAGCATATAGAGTAAGAAAAAAGCAAGCGCATTTAAACTAAGCAGTTATATATACTTGTGTTTTTTGAAAATATATAGTGCTAATATGCCTTAAATTCTTTTTAAGAAAAATTCTCTCTAATCATCCTTAGGTTTAAGTTAATAATTTTCTAACTTAACTATTTCTAATACTAGCATACGCTTCTTAGCTAAGGTTTTGATTATTTGCATTGGGGTTTTTTAGAGACATAGCTAGCTATTATGCATATAAGAATGTTGTAAGGACCTCCATGGTGGTTAGAGAATAGTCAGACTGCAGGCAGCAGTCTAAGCTCTTAGAATTAGGTTTTACCAAGATTCTAACTCATCAGCAATAAAAATCCTATCGCACATACAATTAAAGAAAGGCAAGCTAAAGTTCACGCTTACTACAAGACCTACCCTCTTGCCTACGTACCTGCTACTATATTCTTTCCCTGTGCAAGGCATTAGCCTATCCTCTTACAATTCTTTAGCTTCTATTTCCTTACAAAAGCATAGGCTGAGAAAATGGTAGCAGGATGCAAAGGAAAAGGCAAGACCTTTATTCCCAAGACGCAGGGAGGACCCTTAGAACTAGCCTGAGACTAGCGATTGACTTTTGAAAGGTTTGCGACTTAGGAAGACAATAGGGTCAAGAGACAACATAGTAACCTAGGCAAAAGGGGCAGCAAGCCCTAGAGACAACCACATAGGAGCTAACAGTTTCCTAACAAGTCGCTGCCTTAAAGCAGACTATGGCAAGACACGCACCTACCTAAGAGACAGCAACTTATTTCAAAAGAAGAATACTAGGCCTTACAAGAACTTCAACATGCCAGCAAAGCACCTCAACCCTCAACGACAAACCTTAAGCAAGCACTAATCAAAGCCTTGACAGCAAAGAGTTGCAATCTAAGCTACAACGACAAACTACTACAATACAATATAGCATTACTGCGCAAAGAAACAACCCCTGCTAAAATCTTCGACTAGCTTGCAGGAGTTAAGGAGGCAAATAACACCTAACCTAGCACCCCTAACTCCTAGCTTATCCACTAGGCGCAGAAGCCTATAAACTACACAATGCAGTCAAAATAGCAATTGCATGCTGCATAGTTAAAGACTAAGGCAAAACTAGTTACTTAGAAAGAATTCTGCAATTTCATCCAAAAAAAACACATCGCCTTTAAGTTGCTAG